GTATTTAAAAAAATATCGAACAAATAACAAGGCTGACAAAGTTTCATCACTTTTTTGTTCAAGCTTGTCGTAAAAGTAAACAGATCTGTGAAATCTCACAGTATAAAAAACACATGTTACAAAATTTAAGTCTAATTGAATACTCATACGTCACTTTCAAAATACCTCTATAAGATGTCATTTTTATTAAGTTTAAAGCATCATAATAAAAAAAAATTATTTAGTGAGCTCAAATCTATGTGAATTAGAACGTTTAAAAAAATAATTCTTCAGATTTTTCTTCTCTCAAAATGTTTCTCTTTCATTTTCCAAATTCCTTTCACCAGCCCTAGCAAAGGTTTTAACTTTTTTCACTGACTTATATTTCAAATCTATGGTGCATTTCCTATAAATAACGACGATCATCATGATGACGATGATTTTGATGAGGATGATGGTTTTTATGAATTATTGTTATGAAAAAGATATTTGTTCAGTAACATAGTAAAGATTTGCCCTGAGGTATTTCGAGTATTTTACCCCGGGGCAAGGGGTGAAAAAATTCTCTAAAATACCCCAGAGTGGACACTCTAGTAATAACTTGGCGAGTAAAATAGTTACCCATTTTCTATTTTTAATTTTAAAGAAAATTTTTAATTTCGGTGCCTAAAACTTACTTTTCAATTACTATGGTTAAAATGAAATGTGTGTTACCTCGCTAATCGAGTATTATCCATGCACTAATCAAATATTAGTTATAAAAAAATTTAAGCGCGCTAAACAAAAACGCATTTATCGAATGCGCACTAATCGAGGGATCCCTGTATTTCTGGTGAAATGGTGAATGCCTGCTTAAAACTAGGGTTCATAGGTGCCAAAGAGCACATAAATTTGATCTGTTCAGTAAGAACAGACATGTGATCAGACCACTTTAGTAGTGAGGGTTTTGAGAGAAAGTTAAAAGCTGATATAGTTGGTTACAACAGCAAACCGAGATTAAAGCCTAGTGCCATTCTTTCTCTACTATTATCAGGTACCAGTAATGTAAGTGATAATGAAGCATTGTTGTGTGAACATGCAAATAGGATGCAAAAACAACAAAATAAAAAGTTTGGGCTCTAAACAATTGAGCTGATATTGAGACATGATTAATGTTTTCCTTTGAATTCAAATCACAATTTAGTGATGAATTTACCATTGAAAAGCAGAGAAAGGTGATATGTGAAGAAATAGTTGCTTTAAGAGCAAGAATATTATACAGAAAGTGTTTTTTATTTCCAGTGATTGTACAGAAACATTAAGTATTATGATAGATTTTTAAGTTGAAAAAACAGTCGGTCATAATATTAATCCATATTATTTTTGATATTTCTATCCCAGTGTCTGTTACTATAAATAAAAATTTGTAAGTAGGAAATACCATTCATTAGTTAAGAAGTGGTAAGGATGTATGTTTTTATAAAAATTATAATACAGTAAACCTAGAAGATTGTAGACCAGTTTCACTGTTAAATATTCTTAAAAAAACCTCATCAAGATTTATTTTTTAATATGATAAAGTATGCTTATGTGACAAACGAAAATTATTTTTTTATGTTTTTAGGTCCTTGTTTAGTAATTTCCATTCAGCAGATAAACCTAGTGATATAGAAATACCATCTCAGAAGATGTTTTCTCCTCCAGAACCTCATTTCCCGCCTCCAGCTCTACCACATGTTGCTGATCTGGATGTGGTCAGAAAATTCTTTCTTTTTAAAATATCAGTTAACACTTAAGAAAAGAAATATTGAACATCAAATCTAAGTAGTTTTCAATGTTCCGAGTTGTTTCTATTTAAAGTATTATAAATTAGTATAATTATGTACTTATTATAAATCAAGAAGTTTTCTCACATCATTAAAATAAAATTTAATGGTTTGACATAATCTTTCTCAATCTAGTAAGTAGATTTTTAGTTATGTCATGTGTACAAACTTCAAGTTAATGATTAATATCACTCTTGTTTTGCACTCTATATAGATTGAAATATATTTTTATTATTGAAATTAATTCATATTTTAAATTAATCAATATGTATAAATGCTAAGACAGTGGCTAGGATAAAATGTTTTTTGATTATGGGTGGATATTAGTTTGGAATATACTTAATCCATTATCAGCACAGTCTGAAAATGGGGTTGTGAACAGTTTCACTACTGTCACTTATGTATAAATGCTTAAAGAAAATTACAGAAAACAGTTGAAACAAAGTTCATTGTAAAATAAAAGTAGTAAAACACTACACTTATCTGTGTAACGTAGAGACATCCATATAAATCAGAATTTTCTTATTTGCAAATAACAAATGATACATATCTTTTTATTCTGATTTTTGATCAGTGTTTTTACTTCACTGGTAATTTCATAAACTTGATGATTTCAAGTACTGTATTCATTTTGTCTCAGTCTTACTCTCTTCAGTGGTGCTGAAGTAAGTGTATTCCAAAGTGTTTGTTTTTAATAAATTACATTTCTCAGCCCAACCACAATGTCTACCCTTCCTACTGAACTATTACTCCCATCTTTAATATCTAAGGATAGTATTGATTCATATAGGATATTCAAATCTCTATTATGCTATTATGGGATAAGGACTGTAAAGTCAATCATTACGTTACGTTATTTGTTCCTGTACTTTGTTGTGACTAAGAAGTACATTCAAAGGAAACAATCAAGTAAAAGTTTTTCAGTAAAAAATTATCTTCTATTATAGCATCACTCATCTCTATAAAATGTTTTTGGTAAAAGAAAAGTATTATCTACCATTATAGCATCACTCTCATCTCTATAAAATGTTTTCAGTAAAAAAAGTATTATCTACCATTATAGCATCACTCATCTCTATAAAATGTTTTCAGTAAAAAAAAGTATTATCTACCATTATAGCATCACTCATCTCTATAAAATGTTTTCAGTAAAAAAAAGTATTATCTACCATTATAGCATCACTCATCTCTATAAAATGTTTTCAGTAAAAAAAGTATTATCTACCATTATAGCATCACTCATCTCTATAAAATGTTTTTGGTAAAAGAAAATTATTATCTACCACTATAGCATCACTCTCATCTCTATAAAATGTTTTCAGTAAAAATTATTACCTACCATTATAGCATCACTCATTTCCATAAAATGTTTTCAGTAAGAAAGATATACGTACCATTAGAGCATCACTGATTTTCAAGTATTTTATTATTACCGATTATATAAATATATATTTAGCAAAGAAGCAATCTCCATAAATTTCAAAATCAAGTTATAAGAAAGCAAACAGTGCATCTGTCTGATGAAAATAATTTATTTTTAGGTTTATGCTAAATTCATTCTTTGATGAAACATATATCTGTAAGCCTTAAAATCTAGTGTAACACCGCAAATATAGCAAAAAACATGGAAATGTGGCATCTATAAGACTTGTGAATTTTAGAGATTTAATGGATAGAGTTGAATGCAGGATACTGAATATCCAGTCAAGTTCAACTACCTAATACTTGATGTGTTTATGTAGTCAAATAGTTTCTTTAGTTTCACAGGACACTAGAAACTAAGGGTCATACAAGTACACGTGACATTTTTGGAAAAGTAAACAGACTGAGTACAATACAGGAACAATATCCAAACAGAGGATTGTATAATAATTCCACGTAAATACTTGAGTATGGAAGCACATTATGGTAATATAATAATAATTTTGCAAACAATGGTTTATAATCATAATGAAGTGCTTTATTTCTGGGCGAACATACTACATGTTTTGACCTGAAGAGACAGACCAATGTTCTTGTTGTGAGGAGAGGAAATTATTATTATAATTAGAAATATTCTGTTGCAGTATTTTCAGATAAAAACCACTTTCTCAACAAGTATTAAATAGGTGATCCCACTAAAAGCAGCGAATTCAATCAAAAAATGAGCATAGTGTTTGATAACGGAGTTTAAGTGTGAAATAACAAGACTGGACAAATGTAAGTAAGTAAACAAACTTTTTTATTGTAACGAATAAACAGAAAGCATAGTGTGTGTGTATATACTTGCACAGAATCAATCAGTCAGTTCTACTGGAGTGTGTTTATTGTACAGCTTTCTTTCCCTCAGAATTAATCTCTGTAGAACTAAAGCATGATGATTTTAAGGTCTGTTGATGATCACCTAGTAGGTGGTATTTACAGCAATCAATTTGAAAATTGGCACAAATATAAATTTTCATGTGCCCAACACATATACTTACAAAATAGGTGGATTTGCCCATTTTGAATCTTGTCAAAGTTAACAAAAAAGCATAATTTTGGGTTTTTGGTCGATTATTTGGCCCTATTTTGACCAATTTACATAGGATTTTATAAACGTTACTTCTCTACAGGTTCCACACATTGGCAAGCAAAAACATTGGCCTTGCTCATTTTGATTAATTATATGGGGTCATAATGCCACAAAAAGCATAATTTTAAGTTTTTTTGACAGTTACTCTGCTGTATTTTGGCCAATTTACATGGGATTTGGTACAAAGATACTTTTTTACAGATCCCTCACATATACATACAAAAATGTTTGGTTATATTAGGAGGAGAGGATAAAAAGGTTAAATAAGCCCATAATTTTGGGGGTTTTGGTTAATTACTTAGCCATATTTTGACCAATTTATGTGGGATTTAATACAAAGATACTCTTTGCAGGTCCCAAACAGAGAGATAGACAATTTTGGAGTTTTTTTGTCTTCTGTTAAATTTTTCAGTGGTGAAGGCACAATTTGAGTTTTTGTGAACTATTCATGTATACGTAAAACAATTTACATGAGATTTGATATAAAGTTACCATATTTCCATTCCCAAGCAGTGATATAGACAGCTTTAGATTTTTCTGGTGTCAAAATTGGCCGTGCTAGGATTGTGTGGCTTAATAGTGTCTGTTCTGCCAGAGAAGATATGGCAGTAAGCTATAGCATCTGGGTTGAAAGGATTAGCACTGTAATATCCTTTGCTGGCTGAGTTTGTGTTTTCTTAACGAGGCAGCGAACCAATGCTATGACATAGCAAAGGTCACGAGGTGATGCTGTTAACTGGATAAAGAAACCAAATTTAACTTTTGAATTAGGGGTACTTTCTTGGTTCAATTCTACTTGAGGATTGGTGAGTATAGACTTACTTTAAGATCATGTTTAATTCAATGGAAGTCACTCTTAGGAGAAAGAAAGCTGTGGGACTAAGCACATTCCAGTAGAAGCTATTGTATTTTTGTTTGTGTAAGTACATACGTTGTGTTTTTTTCTTGGTTCTTGTATAATGAATATTGTTTTTGCTTCCTCCAAATTTGTCCAGTCTTATTATTTCACACACACATAGTTATGTTATTAGACTCACAATGTCTCTCCTTGTTTTCTGAGCAAATATTCCATTGTTAGCAGGTCCATCTGTCCAATATTTGTTGGGAAATAATTTTTTACTTGAAAATACCACACCACATCAAGTGGTTTGATCATTTACCAATAAAACACAACTTTGAAAACAGCTATATAGAAAGTTTAAATATGATTGGATAGAGCAAGAATTAGATTATCATGCTATAGTAGAGTAAGTAAAAAGGTTTTAAGTTTTTTATAGTTTCTGTAAATTATTCTTTCATATATAAATTGTGAAAGTAATTGTGTGTTAAATCTGTGTTTGAAAGGTACAAAAGTTTTCCTCAATGAAAACACATCAGATAACTTGAGATATGATAAAATTATACGGTTTAGAGACAGGTTGAATTGGTAACAGTTAAAACTTTATTATGAGTTTAATATTGTAACGAAGTTTGGAGAAGGTTTTGTCATCATCGGATACAAGTATAGTTTACCTAGACACAGGAATATATTAGGTTTTCAAGAAATTAATGTCATGTTTTGGAACACTTTCAGTACCCCCCCCCCCAAATACGTACATCACGTATAAATGAAGCACCCAAATGTCACGTTAGTGTAGCCTATATAATGTATAAAATTTAGTATACTCTACTCCCTTATAGCAATGGCACAGGACTAGACACACACATTCAGCATGTAATGCTGTTTGAATACAAGAAGGGAAACAATGCCTCTGTAGCCACAATGAATATCAAAGAAGTTTATGGAAATGTTTTGAACGTTCGTAAGTGTCAATGATGGTTCAAAAAATTTTGTTCAGGTGACTTTAGCCTTAAAAACTGTGATGGCAGGAACCGACATGTTGGAATTGATATTGATGCTCTGAAGACAACACACTCGTGAAATGGCCCTGAAATTGCATATCTCTCATGAAACAATACGTAGACATCTAAGGAATATGGGAAAACTCCATAAAGAAGGTGTTTGGGTGCCTCATGAGCATCATTTCCAATATGTGAACATTGCTTCATCTCTTCTAGTGGATAATGCAAGTGAACCATTTGTGGACAGAATTGTCACTGGTGATGAAAAAAATGGATTATCTATGCGAATATTAAACATCAAAAACGGTGGTTCAGTCCTAGACACAAACCACTTCCAAACCCAAAATCTGGACTCCATTCACAGAAAGTGATGCTTTGCATTTGGTGAGACATCAAAGGAGTAATTCACTTCGAACTCCTCAGCCCACAGTGAAACGTCAATGCAGAAATCTATAGTCAAGCCCTTCATCAAAAATGCCCTTCACTCGTCAATCAGAAAGGTGTTCTTTTTCTCCACAACAATGCACGTCCACATGTG